GGAGCCATGTAACAGATGATTTTAATGGGAGCCATGTAACAGATGATTTTAATGGGAGCCATGTAACAGATGATTTTAATGGGAGCCATGTAACAGATGATTTTAATCAGATTGCTTTTATTGTACATTACTGTATTGTCACAAGAAATTAATTTTCACATAAATATGCAATAAGAATTTTTTATTAATTATGTTTATCTCCTGTAAATATTATTCCATGATTAAAATAATGATAATAAATATTTCATTAACGTGTCACACATTTCAATACATGCATGTATCATAAAATACTTTTCACAATGTTTAAGAACTATGCATAAGAAATGTCCGGCCAGTGTTGACCTACGAGACACCATTATCACGATACTATATCACAGTTATATACAACATAACATTTAAACTATTAGCATATTCAGATATTTCTGGATTAAATTCATTCATTTAAACAATATCACGGAGTGTACATACAATTACTATATGGGTCAAAGAAGTAATATAGACGGTAAAATCCCATATAACACTGGATCCTAATGGAGGTATGTCCGTAGGATACAAATAACTTAAAATATTATATGGGGCAAAGAAGTAATTCCAGCCGTGTGGACAAGTTAAGGTTGTCAAATTTTCGGAGCAATCCGCTCCTTTTTCAAGACACAGTGAAACAGAACAGTTACATGTACATATACATCATATTATAAGAAGATAGAACTGATATACTATAATTGAAAATATAGCAGCATAATTGCTACCTTCGGCTGTCTTTAGCCAAGGGGACTATTGGCTTTATATAATAGCTATATTTTCAATTATAGTATATCAGTTCTATCTTCTTGTAATATAAGGTATGTACATTTAACTGTTCTGTTTCACTGTGTCTTGAAAAAGGAGTGGATCGCTCCGAAAATTTGACAACCTAAACTTGTCCACACTGTTGGAATTACTTCTTTGCCCCATATTTATATATAATAGATGATAAATAAACAAGTCCTTGCGAAGGAAAATATAGAATAAAAACATAAATATGTCAGATCTTCCGCTAGTCCTTTCTGCCTTCTAGGGCTTCTTCAGGTGGATGCCTATATATACAGTATATAATTATCATGTAAACTATTTCAGGGTATTAACTCATTCACCCCTGAAGACACATTTGAACTCCTCCAATTCAAAGGTTGGAATAGTTCATTATGAAATTTCAGGGGTGAATGAGTTAATATATTGCTAAAATAACAACAGTATTATGCATTCAAGTATTATCAAAGTTTACATACATCAATATGACAGTTAAAACGATTATTCATTTAGACCATTTACAAAATTGTGGACGCACGTACATTTGCTGAAACTTAAGAATACAGTTTTAGCAAGGATTCTTCATTCATTAAGAATATAAGTTTATCTTTAACGCTATGGTTAATAAAAGCTGGTTGGATATCAATAGCATTTTTATACAGTGCACTACGAAATTCAGAATAAAATCCACACTCACATAAGAAACGAGTGAATTACAGCGACAATGTTAACATGTCCACTTATCTAAAGGTGTAACAGGTCCATTGTAGCATCACATCAGTCAGTATTGAAATTGCATCCTCATTTTAACTATTCAAGTATCTATCTATCTGTATGTTATACTGTACAGAGACCAAAATGGCTTTAATACAGAGTAATGGTGAATAAACATAGAAGATATACCTCACAAAATAAATTGATTTACCTTTTATTGCTCACTTTGCCCAAAATGTGAGCAGATGCAATGGTGCCTTAATTTATCCATCAATTCTCTGTCTGTCCATTGTCCAACTTAAGCATCATATTCTACTTTAAAACAAGATATTCAGAATAATATATATACGCCTATGAGGATATTAGCAAATGGCACACCTCAAGAATGAGTTTTCAAGTTTGTTCAAATGAATAACCTTTACCACTTTCAAGGTCAGAGGGTTAAAATTTGCTAATATCTAATGCAACTTCTTCTGAATAAGTAAGAGGCATTAGGGTGATAGCATTTTGCCAGAAGCATGCTTGGATGAAAAGCAGTCAAGTTTTGCTGGGATGAAGAACTTAGTTTTGTTCAAATAAATAACCTTGACCTATTTTAATATCATTGGGATAAAATGTGGTAAAAATCTTTGATCATCTCCTTCTGAATAACCAATTGCAAGAGGCCTATATGTCATAATCTTCTGACATGGCATGCTACTTTAATTTAAATATGTTCAAATTAATAACTTTTCCCTACTTTCAAGGTCACAAGGGTCGAATGTGTTTAACAAATTTAACTTATTCTTCTCAATAACCAAGAGGTCAAGGAGCATGATATTTAGCACTTATTGTAATATCTGATTTCTGGGTACTGACATGTTAAAGTGAAAGGCTATCTCAGTTGTTTGGAGATTTGTAGTGACAGAGCCAGATGTTTAGTTTACAGGGAGTTTTTTTGTTTGCATGGAGGTTAAAAATTGTGTTGACATTACTAAGATGTTTTGCTGAAATGTAGGTAAGGATATAAGAAAGAAGATACATGAGTCCTTTATTTTTAAAAAGGACCAAGTCTATCACATTTGTGTTTTCATGTAGGTTTGTTGACGTGGAGGTTTTGTTCAAAGAAAGAAGCTACACAGGTTTCAATACCATGTCGATAAAAACACACCCTCGATAATCCACGGGTTACGCTCTCTTTCACTCTCTGCACCCCTGGAATATGTCATAGAAAAATTGAAGACATGCAGCTAGCTATTTGATTGGTCTCTGGTAAAAATACCTGACCAATCGCTAGGCTAATACCTGTCCTTCGAAGATTACAGAGGAGCACTACCAGACTTCGTAGCCAGTCAATTTTACCGTTATGCGACTCGGATATTCTTTTGATGTATATCAAAGGATCAAGCTAGTCTTCTTGTCTCATCCAAAAGGTGGTACACACTTAGCCTTCTGTTTTGCTATGACATATTGCAGGGGTGTAGAGAGCAATAGTGAGCATAACCCCTTGAATATTGAGGATGATTAAAACATAGAGTGACGTAGAACAGTTTCAGACAATCCTGCTCTGATTTCAGGTGACCCATATCCAGAGTCTGGTCCAGGATTACTCTTCTAAAAGACAAGTGCTGAAAAATCCAACAATGACAGTCAAACAGAAAATGGTAAGTCCAAACCTGAGTACACTAGCATGGTCTTAATGAGCTAATTACAATGTTGTCAGTACACAGTACCAGTAGAATCTGTCCTCTAAGACTGTCCT